AATTATGTGTCTTGTATCATACATATTTCTCGGTATTCTCTACTACATAATCATAAATACACAAATACATACACAATCCTATGTATCATAGTGAATCAAGCATGAAGGATTCCCGCTTTTATTGAGTATCAACATGAGAGTTCTTCCTCAACTTTAATATGCATGAAATTACCAATGATAGAATAGTAAAAATTCAACGGTACAAGATAATCGTGTACTAATATCAAAATAAATGTGGAAGCAATATTTTATTGATTTCTTGGAAGTAATACGCATAGGATTCTGGGAAACGATGCTAAATAGAGTCTATGCATCAACGAATTCTCATTGGCTAGCGTACGTTACTCAGTGTTTATCGAAAATCTCATTGGCTCTTCGTTTTCCCTCCATTCTCTGCACGAGGCTACAATTTCGTGTGTATGCCATTATATCTTTTCCCCTCAATAGCGCTGGCATACTCAACAACATCGATTGGTTTAATAGGACCGTAGTAATATTTGATGCATTGCTTCCTCACAATTGGGATAAATACAATTTTTAGGAAATATCGAAATACTTTTATAATGTTTTCCGTGTTAGAAGTAATTGAATTGAAATTTTAAGATGATTTTTCTGCATTTTTCTTTCACTTCATCAAGCATATTGTAATATAAGAGAATTATTTTTAGAAATTTCTGAGCGTCCAGGAAATCGAAAGTCAGAGCACGTCAGTGCGCTGTGAAATCTGATTGGTTTAGAGAGCTGTCAGGGGGAGAGGTAAACGAGATTCCATGATGCTTTGCGCGGAATATCCTGAGTCGAACGGAGCGCAAGTCGCACCTCTCCCTTCTCCATTCGGCGGCCGATCAGTACGGACGTGAGAGTTTTGTTAGCTCGTGCAGTGCTATTTGAGTATCCGTTAAAACGCGATTTATAATTGTGTTTTAAGTGTTAGATTGAGAAGATATAAACAAATATAGAATAAAGTATGGCTGATCAGGAGAACAAGGACTTCAGCGAAGATATCGCCGATCAAAACTTCGAGCAGAACGGCGAAGCTGAGAACGGCGGCGGGGACGCCGCAGAAAATGGCCAAGAATCGCAGGAGGAAAGGTAACCTTTACCGTCTTGAACATCGACCCTTACCTTTAAATCGGACGTAGTTTTATGAAATTTCCGATTTCGATTCACATGGTATTTTAAACGCGCGGGAATATGCGATCGAGGTTTCTAAACGAGAATTGCTTTGTGCGAACGATTGTCGTGAATGACAAAATGGCGGATGCGCGAGGTCCCGAAAATTTTAATCCATTCCCATCGATTCTAAAGCGAGTGTTCCTAGTATCGCAGTCAACATGTTTTGCATCGCTACGATATAAAGAAATCGTAGGCGTCGATCATTTTTTTCGGATATAAGCTAAACGGCAAGTAACGATAAAAGGAAGTGAGTAGTCGGTCAAACAAAAAGGAATGCCGGCCGCAAGTTTAGAAAGGGCGCGCCCACGCATTGTTGTACAGCCACTGAAGATAATATATCAAGCTTAATCCCGAGCTAAGCGATTTTAAATCCGACGCGCTTCCCCTCGATTCCTTTCTCTTCATATTTTTCTACGGTTTCGATCATGTCCTAGTGCTTTGTATACGCACAACACGCACTTATGTATCGAGAACAGAACACGTATTAAATAATGTTTTACGTAAATTATAATGGATATGTAGATCGTATATTCAGGGAGGGTAACGTATCGTCATGTTTACTAGAAATAGTAATAGATTATAAGAACTTTTGGTGGCTGGTGGCATAGCACCTTGCTCCCCTCCCCTTTTCAGCGTAACGAGATCTCGAGCTGTGGACGATTTGCCCATCGGCGAGTTTTAGATGTCCAATATTGATGTGTACGGATACACACGGTCTATGTAAATACTTTCTAATATCGCATTATAAGATCATTATTATTATTATTATTTTACTATCATCGCAGCATTTTGGGTTCTGTACCCGAGAAATTCGTTTTTTTTCTTTCTATCCCTACAGCTTTGGATTATCACAAACTCTTACATAGTTTGGGGTATGTTTTTGCAATATGGGTAAGCTACTTTAGATTGTAACTTGTAGAAGTACTTAAATTGATATTGGAGAAAGGGATGTCGCCTTCAAATTTGAATAGACTCTGTACCGTTACAAGAGATTGAAACAAACATAAATAGAGATAATTTCAATGTACCGTGCAATTGATACGCATAAGAGTAATTTGGAGGTATACTCCCTTTCACCCATGATGAGAATACATATGTGCGTGTTAAAGGACATGATATCTGTGTATAAAGTACTAAAAATGACTAACTGACAGCTGGCATTCCAATGTTTGTTAAATAAATTTAGCAAATATAAATAAAGATCGAAAGGCAAATTGCATTGCATGCCCTTTATTGCAAAGTGATAAGGTAATTACATATATAAATATAAGAATGATATAAGTATTAGTTGTAACTTTTATATGTGCTGTTGTTGCGAGGTATACATTTATCTATTAAAAATTCTATAATTTTGTGTAAACTCCTTATTTCTGCTCTCCTTCCTAGTTAATTCTATTCTAGTTTTGTAATCGATGATGAAAAGAGATATTGTGATTTTTATCAGTGATAAAAGTTTTCTACACGTTGCGTAAATAATAATTGTAATATTTTTATAGAGCGTTAACTTTGAAATGCATTTTTGGCCAGCCGAGTCTTCTTCATTGATATTCATTGCAGCCGAATTCTGGTTAGTCAATTGTTCACGACTGACAATATGTACGCTTACCTGGGATCTGTGAACTGAACCGTGTGAAGCCTTACGTGAATGACTTCTGAATCTGAATTATTGCGAGAAGTCTACGTCAAGTTCAAGTCCGTCATGTTCCGTCACAACACAAGCACTGGAAGTCGAGTCAATTACGTCAGATCAATAAGTCTCGCACAGACACACACTTGCCTGCTGGGTCACGCGTAGAGTAATTTCTGATCAGATGTGTCAAATGCTGTTTGGGCGTGATCAAAGCACAGAGTCACTAGGGCCAATGCGAAAAACTCAGATAGGTCGGAATGCCATTAACCCAGTTTATGTGGCTTGATCTGCAGGTGGCAAACGACCCAGTGCGATTATGGCGGGCGGCTCGCAACCGGCTAACCGTGACCCGACCAACAACTGATTACCGGCGAGTGACTGGTGCCTACGGTATTTATCACCAGCCCTAGATGATTTATAATGAAAAGATCGATCTAAGTACAGACAACTACCATCACACTGCCAGAAAAGTGACAAAATATTGCAGCTTGTTATATCTATAGAATATGAAAAGGCTGAAAAGTATATATATCAGGACTTGAAACAATAATATTTTGCTGATGAATAGATGAAAAAGAGAGAAATATCACATAAACATATATATATATAAATAAACGTCAGATATTATGTGCATATAGACATTCGAAAAGTACCGACAAGTGACCATCATTAACTTGTAATATGGAAACAATTTTTTTAGCTTTTTAATAGAGTTGCAGTCTATCTACATACCGTATGTCAATTCTTTGGGCCAAACAGCAGTCAGAGTTCAACTTGGAAAAGTTAAATCTTATTTCCTTTAGGAGCAGCTGTATGTCAACTGGAGTTATAAGCTATTGTTCGGGTTCACATGAACGTCGTCAAAAGTACTTTGCTCTCTCAATGCGTTTATTTTTACATTACTATCTTTTTTCCAAGTTTTTTCCTTTCATTTTTGTTGATAAGTATATATTTATCAGAAGTTCGAATCAAGGTCTATCTGGTGTTGCAAAGCAGTCTTCTCATGGTTGTCTCACATAATTCTATGTTTCTTATCAAGGATCGAACACATACTTTTCATACAACAAGTGTCAGTGAGTTCATTTATTCTAGGAATGGTATTATACTTATATATTACCGCCATCAAATTAAGATAATTTCGCTCTCGCGAAAATCTTTATACATATACATATATATATATATTTATTCAAAATTTTAAAGTAGACATTAATGTAGGTCACTTAATCAATTATAGATTGTATTTATACTTGATCATATATTTATATTTATAAGAAGTATTTAATAAATTGCACACGTTACCTCTTGAATAAAATTCCTTACCAAAGTGTCTTTGAAAGTTTATCCAGTACCCCTTTTCCAAATGATATATTACTGGTCTCTATTGCATTTCTTGTATATTGCCAACACTAAATTTTTTATATTTTAACTCTTATTCTAATTTTTCCAGGGGTCATGTCTCCCTTTAAATGTAAATGGAAATAATTTGTGACAAAATTTAAACTTTTGCTTCTCACCAACCTTAGTTTTTAATTAAATATAAATTACAAAGATTGGTATAATAAAATTCATTACATTGCTTTGCAGGTCGACTGGGGGTAATCAGGATTCTTTAAATGATAGGTACATTCACTTTTCATTTTATAATATTAGTTTTT